GGCGAAATGTTAACCCCTTTCCGGTAACTAGTCGTAACGGTTTAGCCAAATGGGATACAAAAATTCCGAAGGGAAATTCCGGATATGATTTGGTGTGTACCATCTGCTATCTCTCCTCCGCAGAGGCTCAAAAGGGGGCACGAGATTGGAGAGAATCCAAACCTCACAAGTCCCCGCGCTGACCAGAGCCAGAGAGATTGGGCTCAAGAGGTATGAGGCTGGGTTTTGGTGACCAGCGGTTGCATAATGACAATGGACTACTCGAGTACTCGATGTTTCTGAGAAAAACAACAGGCAGTTCGTGTCAAAAGGTTACTGTAAATTCTGAGAAAGAGATGAAGTGCCAAGTCAGTTGTGTGAAAGCGTTGAAATCGCTTCGGCTGGAAGTCTCATTCAAAGACGAATACTTGAGATTGTTAACAGCACCATGCCGTATATCTTGGTACGATGCTCTATAAGCCTGTCGAGTGGATATGACGGCCACCCGACGGTTATTGATTACCACGCTGAAGGTGGTGAGCAAGGCGAGTTCAGGCTACTACAAGACGCGATGTCACACCTGCAAGCAAGTTGTATTCGTGGCTCCTGTGGTCCTTATTGCTCGTACCAGACTGCTGAGCCCCCTTATTTAGTGCTTAACAGATTGGAAAACCACGGCTATAAAGTTGTTGCAGCGACCTCCGTTGCAGATAAGAGCGGGAATTGCGTATCGCAGATGTGGACATTGCACAAGCAAAGATAAAGCAACACAAGCCAAAACGAAAAAGAAAACAGAAAAAAGATGAAACCCCAGCTACCCAAGCAGTTTTACAAGTCTTTATTGTGTTTTGTGTGTAAAAGATAAATTGTAAATACGGTTTGCGACGGTGTGACCGATATTTAGATGAATAATAGCAATAAAACGAAGACTTAAAAAAAATAGTGTATAGAAATTAATTTGTAATGAATTGCGTACACTTCTATAACCTAAAAGAAACACCTGCATTATCACTATATTGTTAGTAATTTTGGTGTTAAATGCATTTTTTTTTTTTGTAATATGGGGTCTTTGTTTTGGAATGTAAATAAGGATTAGTATAGGTAATCACATGAGGCCGAGTACTATTAAGGATTAATTGCACGAGTGTTTTCAAAATTTTCCAAAATTGCCCGAGTCGCGAAGCGA